GATTTTGGGCTCTCAGTACACGTGGTCAGAGCACGTCCAGTTTTCCATCCACCAATTTCAACTGCAACAAATCAGCCCCATGGCGTGTGTTTGATCCAGAGGAAGCCAGAGGACATCCTGAGCTTATGGCAAAGGGCTGATAAGCACCAGGGAGCAAACTGCTCACAGCAAGTTCCTTTTTTAGCTCCGCTCTTGGAGTTGCTGTGTTGTGTTCTGGGGATGGAAATGCTTTTTGCTAAGGAAGAGATGTCAGCTGGAAACCCCAAAAGTTAAGGTGAAAAATGGGATCACACCTCCTAGAGCAGCGAGGTTAGAGGTACAGAAGGAATTATTCTTGTGCAGGCTTTGGTGGCAAGAGCTAGGAGGGAAATCCTTACCTGAGGAACATCTGAGAGCGTGATCCTTTCAGGACGGAGAGATCTGGTGCCAGCACCTGAGAGGGAAATAAAATCCTTGAAGTGACTTGAGTGTTTCCTTCCCCTTGTGCTGCAGCCCCTGATGAAGCAGGACAGCTTGGATATCTACAACGAGAGAGACCCCTTCAAGAGCGACGAGGGAGGGGCTGATGAGGAGGAGAACGACGATGTGGACGGCGGGATGGAGGGGGAGCTGGAGCTGGTGGAGCGGGACGCGCTCATCCCCGCCCTGCCGGCGCAGCGCCTGCCCCTCGAGAGGGTGTCCTTCCCCAAGGGGCTGCCCTGGGCCCCCAAAGTCAGGTACAGCCACCGGTGTCACCCCCTCCGCCCCACACCTGCCTGTCCTGGAGTCCAGTGCAGTGTTTTGGGAAGTGTTTTGGCCTCTGGTTGAACTGAAGTGACTCCGCTTCTCTTTTTTGTTGGTCCTTTCTGGATTGGCCACTTGCCGTGTTTGGTGTGTAAATTCTGGGGAAGAGCTCAGCTAAACCCAACCCAAGGCAATAAATGGGCAAACCAATTTACTGCCCAATAAGTGGCGATCCAGTTTGGATATCCCAGGCTGTGCTGGGGCGCTGTGGGAGCGGGGTCAGCTTTCCCAGCCAGGTCCCAGTGGATCTTGGTAGCACAAAGTTCTTGACTAATCATCCTGGGAGTTGGTCAGTGACACCTTGCTGGGTGAGCAGGACCCTGTGGTGCCAGGTGAAGCCTTTTTTAATGGCAGAGAAAACCACCTTTAAGGATAAAGGAATTGGTGCTTTTCCTTCCTTCCTTCCACACATGAAATGAGGGAATGTTAGGAAAAGAGGGTGAAAACCTCTTCCTCTTTCCCTCTGATCCATCTGAGGGTTTTTTTGCTGTTCATCCCAAGCCTGGATTTAATCCAGTATCTTTAAAACACAGGAGCAAATAGATATTTTTGAGATAGGAGCAGTGACAGGTTTAAGTCAGTCTGTCCAGAGCATTCCTGGCAGAAACCCAGCAGGAATTGGTTTCCCACACGGATCTCCACGGTGGTGCTGTGGTGCTCCACGTCACTTCACGCTCTCAGCTTTGAAATCCAATGGCTGCTGCTTTCCTTGGCTGCTGGCTGGAGATCCAGCTGGATTCCTTTCTGTCCAGGAGAGCCCTTGCTCACAGCTCATGTCCTGCTTGTAGTGCAGAGCTGCCCAGCAGTTCCCATGAAAGATGCCAAAGGTGGACAAGATGTTAGCTTGCTGTGGGAGCAGCATGTGCTCTGACAGACCGTGGAGACAACATTTGTTCTCCCAGAGCCAGCAGATGCTCCTTGGAGATGGTGTGAGGAGCACAGGAGGTGGATCCAAAGGTGCTGCTGGCAGAAATCTCCTCTCCATTTACTCACACGTTCCTGTGGAGCTGCACAGCAAATACAAATGGTTTAGGTTCTCATTGTCCCCAGCCAGTGAGGGCAAATGTGGGTTTTGCCCACTGCTGTTGAGATCTCTGGGAATCAATCTGAGGTTGTGATCTTGTCCGTGGCTGTTTTCCAACCTTCTCCTTGTTTTTGTCTCTCTGCTGCTCCATCAGACAGAAAGACATCGAGCATTTCCTGGAAGCAAGCAGGAACAAATTCATCGGCTTCACGCTGGGACAGTGAGTGTGCCATCCCCAACACCTGCCCTGCAGCCTCCGTCAGTGGGGGCCAAGCACAAAGCTCAGGCTTTCCCAGCTCGAGGCATGGCCAGAATGCAGCAATGAAAGCGGGGCTAGAAAAGCACGTTCCTGGAGACACTGCTCCCCAGGGACCTCTTTCTATTAAAAATCAGACCTAGCCCAGAATAAGTGACCGCTGGCCCAAGCCAAGAGCTGGTTGGATGTGAAAGGCAGCTGAGACAGTTTGGTATCCACAGCAAATTACCCAGTTTGTGGATAAATCAAGCTGTGGGTGCAGAGTCATCCTGGGACAGGCCCAGCAGGGTACATTCATTTTTAGGTGCAGTGCTGGGCTCAGACTGGCTCCAACCTATTTCTGATTCAATCTGATTTCACCCAGATTCTGATTCAATCTGATTTCACCCCAATGTCTCTCCTGCCTCGTGCAGGCATGGTGGGGAGGAGGTGGGAGGGCAGCAGCTGAGGCCAACACCTCTCCCAATTCCTGACCCATCTGGGGTGCATTCAGCAGACTCCAGGCTCCCTCTTTTACCTGTTAGAACATAGAAATGTTTGAGCATGGGTGTCCTTCCCAGAACTGACCTTCCTTCCTCTCCCCAGGGACACTGAAACCCTGATAGGGCTCCCACGGCCGATCCATGAAAGTGTGAAGACCCTGAAGCAGGTGAGATGGTGGCTCCAGGCATGGCATGGCATGGGGTATCCACCACGTGGGTCCTCCTGGCCACCCTCCCTGAAACACTCTTACTGCAGGGAGTAAAAAAGTTGGGTGCCACAGGAAAAGCTTTTGGAGCTTCTTGCAGGAATTGGGGCAAAAAACTAAAAACTGAGTCCTCAAGTAGCCTCTCCAGCATTTTTACTTTCCCTTTATCCAAGGTGTGGCATTCCTGTTTCCTGGTGAATGTCTGTCGTGTGTTTTGAAGGCGACAGGCTTTCAGAGCTGGGTTTGGACATGGATTCCCAAATGTGCAGTTCCCGGGGGGAAGCACAGGCAGCCTCAGCTGCTGCAGTGCTCTGTGGGGAATGAGGCCCCTCCAGAGGCCACCTGGCCCCATCCAGGGTCTGTCTTTTGGAGGCGATTGTCCCTCTAGTTCCTTACAGAGAGAGCTCCTAGAGGGAGCAGGGGGAAGTAACCCAAGGCAGAGGGGTGAGGGGCTTCAGGGATGTCCCACTCAGGGATGAGCTGCCCGTGGCTCTGCTGTGCCCTGCACCCTCACTGGGCATTGCTGTGACCATCACTGGCCGTGTTTCCTGTGACACTGTGACACTGCTCTGCCTCTGTCCGTGTGTTTTGCCAGCACAAGTACGTTTCCATCTCGGATGTCCAGATCAAGAACGAGGAGGAGCTGGAGAAGTGCCCCATGTCTCTGGTAAGAAGGAAGGGCTTCACCCCATCACCAGAGAGAAGATGGGAGGTTTCCAAGGTGTCACATAAATCCATGTTTATTTTTGCGTCATTTCCCCTTGTTTTTAATGTTTCTCTGCCCTAGGGGGAAGAGGAAGTGCAAGAAACCCCTTGTGAGGTGTTGTATCGAGCAATGTTGTACAATCTCCCCCAGTACATGGTAAGCCCCTGTCCCTTAAAGGAAGGAAAAGTTCTGGAGTAGGGAATGGTGCCAGTCCAGGAGCTGCAGAGCTCAGCACAGGAGGGGGTTCAGGACCTGGAATGTCAGATTTTGGTGGGAATCCTGAGCAGAGCTGGGAGGTAAGTGCAGTCCAAGAGGAGGATTCAGAGCGTTCTGAGATGGTGATTGGGTAACATGGGCTCTGTAGGGAGAGACAGAATTTAAGTTCATTTAAACTTCAGGTATTCTTTGTGCTGTTTTACCCTCCCTGCCAGAGCTCAGGCACCTGTGATGCCTTAGCTTAAGGGTCAAGCAGAGCTGTTGGCTCCCCACACTTGTCCTGCCTGTCAGAGGCCTGGTGAAACCCTGTAGGGTTGGCTTGGATTTGTCCAGTTCTGGCAAGTGATGGGGAAGGAAGGAATTCCCTTTCCTGGGCCATGCCCCACACCTGCCCTCTCCTGCAGATCGCTTTGCTGAAGATCCTGCTGGCTGCTGCACCCACCTCCAAGGCCAAGACTGACTCCATCAACATCCTGGCAGACGTGTTGCCTGAAGAGATGCCGTAAGTGCCTCACCGGGTGGCCACCGGCCATCCCAGCCTTGCCACCAAGGCTTGGACCAAGCACAGGAGCCAGTAGGTTTGGGGGGTCCAGATTTGGGGTATCTGTTTGGGTAGGTGTGAATTACAGCTGGCACCAGGGCAGAGCTGTGAAAGCCAAGGCGGTGATGCTGCCATGATTCGAGTGCAGCCACTCCAAGCTAAGTGGCACAAATGATAAAATCCTGCTAATTGACCCAAATCAGAAAGATCTGTCAGCATGCAGGAGGTGTCCTTCCTACCGCTCCGGCAGGATTCCTGATGGAGAGCAATCCACCTTTTTTGAATGAATTTTGGCATCGCCAGGTGGGATGGGTGGAGATGGGAATCCCGGAGGGAGTGAAGGTGCTTGGTTTCCTAGAGCTCACCCAGGTGAAGGAGAGCTCCAGGGTCCCTTGGCTCCCTGCTGCCAAGCCAGGAGCTGCTTTCCCTCCGCGCAGCATCACCGTGCTGCAGAGCATGAAGCTGGGCATCGACGTGAACAGGCACAAGGAGATCATCGTCAAGAGCATCTCGGCGCTGCTGCTGCTGCTCCTCAAGCACTTCAAGCTGAACCACATCTACCAGGTGGGCCTAGGGCAAGGGATGGCCCCTGCCCAGCTGGGCTTGGAGCTCCTCATCAACCCTCTCCTGGAAGAGTTTCCATGAGGAGCTGTAGTCACATTTCCACAGCCCCGGGATTTGTTCAGGGTCGCTCAGGTTGGGATAACCCCACTTGTTTTGACAACGCCTTTCCTACTCACACGGCAGGAGCTTTTAGAGTTCTGGGAATGTCCACTCTGGTTAAATTTAGGAAATGGCACCAGGCTCCTTGGCAGAAGGGGGAAGAGGAAGGGGATTAGGCAAGACTCTCTTTTGCTCTGTCATCTCCAGTGCCCAGAAATAGAGCTGGGAAGGACCTCACGAGGTCACCTCCTCGGGTTTTGGCAGGGTCGGGTTCTTGGGGCTCCAGTTTCAACAGAGGCAGAGATCTGGGTCATAGTTGCAATCTGATTTTTGTTCCCAATGTGGTTTTTGTTCCATCTGCATGGCACCAATCAAACTGCACCCACTCCAGGGCTTTCCTTGGTTAAAAAAACCCAAGGACTAATCTGAGCTGTGGCCCAGTTCTCCACTCGTTCTGCAAGTCAAACAATTAATGTTTTCTAATTTTTTCTGTTAAAGCTTTCAGCACGCTACAAATCCCTCTGCGTTACAAAACCCACTGATATTTAACTGAGGATAAATATAAATCCACGTCCTGGATTGGGTGAAATGAAACCAACTCCCACATTTTTACAATCCTACATTTGTTCTGCTCCCCCCGCTCACCACAATCCCTTCATTAATTTTTCTCACTTCAAAGCAGCTCCTCTCCTTTCTTCCCCCCAGGCAGGAGGGCATTGCAGCCTGCTGCTGAGCCTGGAGAAAGCTGCAGGGTTCCCTGAATCCCCCTGATCCTGCTTTTCTTTGTGCCTGATCGGGGTGGTTTTGTTCTTTCTGTGCCCAAGGTGGTCTCGGGGAGCAGCATGAGAACTCCAGCAGGTCTGAAGTGAAGGAACCACTGAACCACAGAATGGTTTGGGTTGGGAGGGTCCATTACTCACCAGCACTTCCCAGTGCTGTGTCATCTGTGCTGTTGTGTCATCTGTGGTGTGCCAATGCTGGCAGCTGGCACCAGGCTGAGATGGGAACAAACTGTTCCTTCCCTCTCCAATTGGAGATCTGGATGGAGAGGCATGGGAAGGGCAGGATGGGATAGGACTGGGTTTTGGTGCAGTTTGTGTCTTTAGAGGGCGGGAGAGATTTGTTGTAGTATTGAACTGCAGAGTGGTTTGGGTTGGAAGGGACCTTGAAGACCATTTAAAGCTTTGAGGGAGAGAGGAATTAAAAGCAAGTAGGAAAATAGGGATATTGTTTCAGTCAGAATTTCTGAGGGAACTGGGATTAGTGTGTGAGAGCAATAGGATTTATTGTGTTTTCTCATGTAATAGCTACAACCCTTCCCTCTTCCCCACACACCGTTTTTCCACAGATTTAATTCTGAAAAGCCGTGAGGTGCAGCTACTCCCAGAGCACTGCTGTGAGGCGTGCGTGTCCTCTCTGTGGCAAATGGAATTTTCCAGCCGCTGTGCCTGACACAGACCTTACACAGCAAACCCCAGGGACAGAATGCTCTGTGGGGTGTCTGGGGCAAACCAAGTGCTCTGCTTTTGGCTGGGGAGAGGTTTCCATTCCCAGGTTTCCATTCCCAGGTTTCCATTCCCAGGTGGTGCTCCCAGCTAACGCTGACCTGTTTCCCTTCTCCCCCCCAGTTTGAGTACGTGTCCCAACACCTGGTGTTTGCCAACTGCATCCCGCTGATCCTGAAATTCTTCAACCAGAACATCATGTCTTACATCGCTGCCAAAAACAGGTACAGCCCCTGCTGGGGGACAGATGGGTGATGGGGCAGGAAGGCTTCGTGCTTTGTCCCCCCTTGGTGTCCTGGGGGGACCCAGGTGGCCTCACAAGGCTTTGGGGTGTCCTGTCCACCACAGAAACTTGTGGAGGGAGCAAATCCCTTTGGCATGATGAGGGTGAGTGGATGCTGGGTTTCCAATCTCATAGAATAGGCTTAACCTTTAAAATAAAGTCGTTTTCATCTTCACGTGGACTACTGGGGAGCCATCCAGTGCCACCGAGCATCTCTGGGCCACAGCTCCATCCAGGCCAGATGGGATGGGCTCTTCCAGGCCTTTCCCACTTTTTGTAGCTGTCATTCAGCTTTCCTGACTCCTTCAGGTTTTCCATAGCTGTCACTGCCCTTTGCTGCTGATCTGAGGGAGGCACCAGCCCCGTTTTGGGCAGGGCACTGGCTGGACCACCGTGGATCAGAGACCTGAGACAGCACAGATCTCTCCCAGCCCACCATGGCAGGATTTCTCTGTTTGGAGAGGAGCTCCACAGGGGGGTTGGGATGATAAAAAGATCCTTTTTCTTCCTTTCTGATGCTCTTTTTGTGGCTCTTCAGCTGCGTGTGTAGGCTGGGCTGTCTCCTGCACGGTATGGTTGTGTCTGTGTGAGGAGGCATGCATAGAAAAATAGGAAGTAATATGTTGATCCTGCTGCTGTAAATATTTCCACTTTTGGTCCTGTGTTTTTTAAGTGAGGAGGAAACATATCCCAGGAGCTTTCAGCTCCCTCCTCTGCTCTGGGATGGAGGTTTCACAGGCAGGAAATGCACCTGGGATGTGCAGCTGAACGCTCTGAGCCAGGGAGGTGTAAATTCCAGTTCTGGCTGTATTTCACTGACTGCTTTCACAAATTCCACAGGCCTGGAAGCCTTTGAAAAACATGATACTCTAAATATTCGCTCACCATAAATTTTCCTGCTGCCAACCCCATGCCTCCCTGTGAACCTCCGATCTATTTTGTTTACTTTTCTCCCCCTTTTCAAATATGCACATGAATAACTCATCTGTCATGTCTTAATGGATCCAAACCCTTTGTGTCCTTATTAATGGACTCAGGATGGAGCTTTGGAGCCAGGAGGCATCGATGTGCTCCATTAAGCTGAGGGCTGGGCAGTGCTGAGGCTGGGATCCCCTTTGGGTGCTGGAGATGGAATTGTTCCCCACCCAAAGCACCTGTGGCATTTCCAGGCACAGAGCAGGAAGAATGTTGCAGATTCCTGGGTATGATCATACAGATCACCGTAAAAACTTCTCTCATGTTAATTGCTGGTATAGAAGGGCTTGACAGCTGGCCTGCAAGCAAAGCTGAGTTAATAGAATTAATAACAATTGATGATTTTCCAGTGTATCCATAGCAAAGACAAGGCCATCAGCACAGAAACAGATTAGAAAGGATACATGAAAATTTTTGTAAGCTAGACTACGTGCATAAGTAGATGTGTATACGTGCCTTATTAAATTTCTGTAAAACTTTTGCCACTTATATTGATATTAATTGCTTTGCACCAATGAATTTAAGTTATTGTGATGTAGTTGATGACTTAAGATCACGCTTTGTTAAGAGTATATAAGCTAGAGAACACACAGAATAAAAAACCTTTTTTCTTCTTAGACCCTGATGACATGTGTGTCACATCCAGCCTGACACTGGTGACATTTGGTGACATTTGGCTAACGAGCCCCTTCTTTCCTGTTTTCTGCAGCATCTCTGTCCTGGATTATCCCCACTGCACGGTCTGTGACTTGCCTGAGCTCACAGCAGAAAGCCTGGTAAGCAGCACAGAAAGGGTTTTTGTGGCCAGGATTGCTCTTTGTGACAGCATGAGGAAGGATTTGGGTTTTCTGTTCTCTGTCTTCTTTTTCTGTAGTCCCCAACCTTTCCAAAATTGGAATTTTTTTTCCTCTCCAGGTTTGAAAATCCCTCCCATCACTATTCTGAGTCACTGTCAGCTGTGGGGAAGTGGCACTGCTGGTGTTGGGCACCCCATAAAAAGAGCTGGGTTTAGGGGTTTCCCTTTGACAGAACAGAATCACAGAATTCTGAGATTGTCGTGGTTGGAAAAGACCTCCAAGATCATCAAGTCCAATCTTTGATCAAACACCACCTTGTCCCCAGCCCAGAGCCCTGAGTGCCACCTCCAGGAATTCCTTGGACACCTCCAGGGATGGGGGCTCCAAACTTCCCTGGGCAGCCCCTGCTCACCCTTTCCATGGGGAATTCTTCCTGATCCAACCTGAGCCTCCCCTGGTACAGTTTGAGGCTGTTTCCTCTTCTTCTGACAAGACTCTTGTGCTTTGAGAGAGAATTTACCCAGAGGCTGTTGCCTCCCAGGTTTTAATTGCTCTGAGCACTAATGTTCTGCGAGATACCAGCTTAAGGAATGAACCAAATTCCCCATGGAGAGGAGCCTGAAGTGTTCCAGAGGATGGGCTGGGCAAACTCACAGACCACAGATGGGATAATAACGCTGGCAGTGTAATTGTTATTATAATTACAATAATTCAAGTGCAGAGGAGGTTGGACTTGGCCAGCACAGGGAAAAGCTTTGGGGTTAACAGGAAATAATGGGCAGAAAATGGAGACCCTAAATCACTGAGAAGGAGCCTGAGCAAATCCACTCTGGGCAGGGATGATCTCATGGTGCTGCTACAACCTGAGGCCTGTGCTGCTTTCCTTAGGTGTGTAAAGGTCAAAATCAGCAGAGAGATTTTCCTTAGGTGTGTAAAGGTCAGAATCAGCAGAGAGATTTTCCCCAGGTGCAGGGGCTGCTGAAGGCTGGGTGTCCCCATCCCGCCCTGCAGACTGCGCCGTATCCTGGACCGATGGGGACATCTAGTGACACTTCAGGGAGGGTTTCATGGCTGTGACACTTCAGGGAGGGTTTCATGGCTGTGACACTTCAGGGAGCGTTTCATGGCTGTGACACTTCAGGGAGGGTTTCATGGCTCGTGCAATGCTCACAGTCAGCCTTCAGGCTGTGGGGGAAAACTGAAAACCTTTTTAAAGAAAATACTCCCAGGAGGGTCTGGGCAGTTTGAGAGCTGTCACGTTCCAGGACAGCACCTTTCACTTTCCTCCAGCAGACACGGATGTTATCTTCAAGGGAGAGCAATTTGATTAGAAAATATGCAGAAACCACCTTGAGTTTTACCATGAGGGTTCATCTTAGGGAGGATACCCATGAAAGTAAGGATTTAATAGGAATTAGACACACCCTGCTACTCAAGGCAGACATTTGTGCGCGTATTTATATTTTTTCAGCCAGCACTTCATGCATTGTTTTAGGTTTTTTTATCACTCTGATGAGTGATTTCTACACCCCAGCGTAACACATTTCTCAGAGGATGTCACAGATGATTCTGCTCCCAGTGGGTTGAGCACAGGGATGTGTGTTGGTTGTCCCAAGGAGAGCCAGGATGAATCCAGCTGTGTCCCAAGGGGGCCTTGGGGTGACTGCTGTCCCCACCCGGTGTAAATCAGGAGTTGCTGAGCTGGTGGGGGATTCAAATCCTGCCCAGTCCCCATCTCCCCTCTCCTGTCACTCCAGAGGGGTCTGCAAAGGGCTTAACCCACCCCTTAGAAGGGGGATTAAAGTATTAAGGTATTAAAGCTTGTTTGGCCTGTTCCCTCCTCCCATAAATCTGATGGAAAGACCCTCCCTCCTTCAATCTGTAGGGACAACATCAGACTGGTGACAGACAAATCCATCAGCCTAAGAAATGGATATTGGCTTATTCCACTGGGATCTTTGGGAAAATTACTTTGTGCAGGGGGAGCAGGTTAGGTCTGAGCACAATGTGACACTGCAGGGACACTGCAGTTTGGGACCCCCAAAGCACCAGACAGCATCCACCAGCAGCTCAGTGACATCCTGGTGACATCCTGGTGACATCCTGGTGACATCCCACCTCTGGCTGCCCCTCAGGCCTCGGCAGGGGCTGCCCAGGGGGGTTTGGAGTGCCCATCTCTGTCCAAGGAACTCCTGGAGGTGGCACTCAGNCAATCAGCATCAGACCCCGCCCCGGGGCCGCTATGGCAACGGGACGCTGAGGGGAGGGTGGGGCGGCCATGGGGGCCGTGCTCAGGGGAGGGGGGACGGGGTCTCTTCAGAGCAGCGAGGACAGGACGGTGAGATTTTGCCTTTTCTACACGGGGCTCCGGTGGGACCGAGGGAGCTGGGGCTCCGGTGGGGCAGAAAAGGAGGTTCCGGAGGGAGCTGCTCGCTCGCTAAACTCCCTGATAGGAGGGCGCAGCCAAGAGGGGGTCGGGATCTGTCGCAGGGAACAGGGACCGAACAAGCCTCAGGTTGTGCCAGGGGTTTAGACTGGGTATCCTGAAAATTCCTCCCCTAAAAGAGTCGTCCAGCCCTCTCACAGCTGCAGGGCTGGATGGAGTCCCCCCCGTCCCTGGAGGGGTTTCAAAGGCCCGCGGATGTGGCATTTGGGGACATTTGGGGACACTTGGGGTCAGTGGTGGCCCTGGCACTGCTGGGGATCGGCTGAACTCGGTCTCAGAGGTCTTGTCCAGGATTCTGTGATTGTAAACCTCGAGGGCTTTGCTGAAAAGCTCAGGGTCCTGGAGTTTGACAATTAGCAGCTGATTTCACAAGTGAGTATCAGCTTTTAGGGATGACCCTGTTTTTGCAAGGGTCTATTTTTGCAAGGAACTATTTGTGTAAGGGTCTATTTTTGCAAGGGACTATTTTTGTAAGGGACTATTTTTCCCTTTTTCTCTTCAAAGTTTCGTGGGGAACGACACAGCCACAGGTGCTTCACATTGTGTAACTAACCGTGTAATTTTGTGTTGCAGGGTTAATCACCAGAGCTTGATGTGAACTCCAGGCTGCTCCATAAAAACACCCAGCCATGGTAAAACACCTTTGATCCTTCAGAAGTGTTGATAACACCTCTTTAAGGAGGAGGGTTTATATCTAAAAGGTTCCTTCCCACAGCTGCAGGACAGAACTGACCTGCCCAAATTCACTTTGTATGCAAGTATAAACCTAATTCTGATGTTTAGCTTTTTTTTTTGTTCTTGGCTGCAGGCTGTAAAATTCTGTACATAGCACATAAAGCCTGTGAGCATCTTTTATATTTGGAAAGATCAGCTACAGGCTGAATTCCTACCAGGAGCCTACAAATGCTCACAAAACCCCCCAGAGACCCTGGGCAAACAAGGAATGAGATCCCACCCATGGCTGCCCTCTGGCAGTGGGAGCCATTCCCTGGGTGCTGTCCCTGCAGGCCTTGTCCCCAGTCCCTCTGCAGCTCTCCTGGAGCCCNCCAGGTGTTGGTGCCCACACCAGCCCAGATGTTTGTGTGGCTCCCCAGGTGTTGGTGCCCACACCAGCCCAGATGTTTGTGTGGCTCCCCAGGTGCTGGTGCCCACATCAGCCTAGATGTTTGTGTGGCTCTCCAGGTGTTGGTGCCCACACCAGCCCAGATGTTTGTGTGGTTCTCCAGGTGTTGGTGCCCACACCAGCCCAGATGTTTGTTTGTGTGGATCCCAGGTGTTGGTGCCCACACCAGCCCAGATGTTTGTTTGTGTGATTCCCCAGGTGTTGGTGCCCACACCAGCCCAGATGTTTGTGTGGCTCCCAGGTGTTGGTGCCCACACCAGCCCAGATGTTTGTGTGGATCCCAGGTGTTGGTGCCCACACCAGCCCAGATGTTTGTGTGGCTCCCCAGCTGTTGGTGCCCACACCAGCCCAGATGTTTGTGTGTCTCCCCAGGTGGTGCCCACATCAGCCCAGATGTTTGTGTGGCTCCCCAGGTGCTGGTGCCCACACCAGCCCAGATGTTTGTTTGTGTGGCTCCCAGGTGTTGGTGCCCACACCAGCCCAGATGTTTGTTTGTGTGGATCCCAGGTGTTGGTGCCCACACCAGCCCAGATGTTTATGTGGCTCTCCAGGTGTTGGTGCCCACACCAGCCCAGATGTTTGTTTGTGTGGCTCCCAGGTGTTGGTACCCACACCAGCCCAGATGTTTGTGTGGATCCCAGGTGTTGGTACCCACACCAGCCCAGATGTTTGTTTGTGTGGCTCCCCCAGCACCCTGCTCTGATGGCTGTTGCTCTCCTGGCAGATGCTGGTGGTGTTTAAATCAGCCCCCATCCTGAAGCGGGCCCTGAAGGTGAAGCAGGCCATGATGCAGCTCTACGTGCTCAAGCTGCTGAAGATCCAGACCAAGTACCTGGGGCGCCAGTGGAGGAAGAGCAACATGAAGACCATGTCTGCCATCTACCAGAAGGTGCGGCACCGCATGAACGACGACTGGGCCTACGGCAACGGTGAGTGCTGCCCTGTCCC